AGAGCGTGGTCTCTGTAAGAGATCTGTGTGCTTCATTCATGGCCCACTTTGGGGAGAATTCCCGCTGTCTGCAAGATGGCGATTTTTCGGGTCACCAGCTAGATGTTACAGGGATTTGTGTCGCAGGGATTTCAAGGCCATCAAAGAGCCAGGTGTGGGGCTTTAGATGGCAGAGAAAGATTGTCACGTGGAGCAGCCACACACTTCCGTGCGCCGCAGCTAATTTTATTTCTTGATTGGCCACCATTCTTAGCACAGCAGAGTCCCCTTTCTTGCTAAGTGTCTACAGTAGCTTCCCGCCAGACTTTGATGACCGGTGACATCCTCGGTGCTGTGGCCGTCCCCGTCCCTGGTGAAAGCAGCAGTGGCCTTGTGCAGGTTGTAGCAACATCAGGCCCCTCTTTGTGCGACCCGGGGAGGGGACTGGGCCACTCTGCTTTTCACGGACGTCCATCGAACGCCCACGCTCACTGCCGGTTCAAGGATGGACACCAGATAACACGGAGGTATCGAGAGCTCTGTGTCAGCCCCAGCGGGAAAACAGTTCAGAAGGTTATAAAATACTGGAATGTTTGACAAAGGTTTTGTTTTGGTGGCTTTTCTCTAATCAAATCATTTCCCTTTTTGTGGGGGTGGGGGGGGACAGGAAAAGTGGTCGGTGAAGGCAAGCCCATCGAGGAAGCCAGTCTCCTGGGGTGGCTGTAGGGTGGCTTCTGTGTCAGTGCCTCCCAGTCAGGCCGGCTCCCAGTGCCTTCTGAGCCTCCAGCCCAGCGCAGACCCTCCCCCTTGACGTACCCCCGCCCACTTGGCCTCCGCGTCTTGTGGGTCTCCTGGCCTCTGGAAGCCTGACAGTGCAGCAGGCATGCGCTGTATGAATCTCCCCGTGGACGTGGCCCCGCCTGGACTCTTCTGGAGAGCGGTAGCCTCCTTGTTCTGCTGGTTGGTCTTGAGACCGTGGTGGCTGCTTCTGACGCTGCCTCACTGGGCCCACGGCCACGGGGCTGCAAACCCGGAGCCTCAGTCCCCGGGCTGAAGACCCCTGTCTCCTGCCTGGCCCCACCGTGCTTTTACGAGCCAAGCCCTAGGCGCCCGAGGGAGGTGCGTTTCGGGTCCTGGCAGAGGTCCCTCCATAGAAACAAAACAGGAGATTGAGCCCTGCGTTCTCATCGTGCCTCCGCGTGGACCGGTTGACAAATCCCTTCCTCTCCAGGGTCTTTGCTTTTCCTCTGTCAGGTGAGGCTGGGCCCGCCTGAGTTCCCTCAGAGGGAGGGGAAAGCAAGGCAACAGTGCCAAACTGGTTTGACCCTGGGTAGCTCAGTTAAAATGAAAACTCCGTTAAAATTCATTTGAGAGCCCTGGAGAGTTCTGGGTCTGGGAGAAGACTTGGAACTCAGGCGATTGTGAGGCACGTGGCGCGAAGTCCCGGACTGGGGAGGGCACTGCCCCAGTCACTCACCCAGCTGTGTGACCTCGGGTGAGTTACTTCTCCTCTCTGAGCCTCCTCTCTGAGGTCGGGTGACAGTGGTACTCACTGTGGTCAGGGTCCTTGTAACGGCAGGCATTTGTGGGGTGTGCACTTGAGTGCCAGGCATGGACGGAGAAACTAAGGCACCGAGAGGTAAAATGAGCCGGCTCCTAAGTAGCAGGGAAGGAATCACACCCCGACAGCCTGACTGCAGAATCTGTTCTCCTAACCGCTAGGCCAGTGGCTCTCCAGGTGTGTTTCCAGGGCCTCTGGGGGTCTTTGAGACCCTTTCAGGCTGCCTGTGAGATCAGGATGATTCTCATGAGCTAAGACATTTTCCTTTTTACTGTGTTTCTCGCGTGAGTATACAGTGGGGTTTTCGGAGGGTACATGGCACGTGATCACATGATTGTTCTAGTGGCTAATGGAATACGGGGGCTTGCGTATTCTTTTTTTTTTTTTTTTTTAATACTTATTTTTGGGAGAGCGCAAGCAGGGGAGAGGTAGAGAAAGGGGGACAAAGGATCCGAAGCAGGCTCTGTGCTGACAGGCTGACAGCAGCGAGCCTGATGCGGGGCTCCAACTCACAAACTGCGAGATCGTGACCTGAGCCGAAGTCGGGCGCTCAACCGACTGAGCCACCCAGAGGGCCCTGCGTCTTCTTGTATTTGAAAAATGTCTCTCCCTGGCCACCATGAACAGGTGTATCCATCTAGACAACCTTCCAATCTTAAGAAGGTTATATATATATGTATATACACATATATATACGTATATACACATATATATGTATATATATGTGTGTGTGTGTGTGTGTGTATATATATATACACACACACTCCTATGTTATATAAGCAGCATGTTTATAGAAATGACTCTTCACCCAGAAGAATCCCCTTGAGATCCGTTCACGTTGTATACATCACTTCGCTCCTTTTTACTGGAGAGTAGCACATAACTAATGCAGCCATACCACAGATCGTATGATCGTTTACTAATTGGGTTCTCGTTGAGTTGTTTCCAAGCCCAGGCTATTCCACTTAAAGCTTCTAGGAACATTAAAAAAAAAAAATAAATGAAAAAAATGGCTCGCTTTTAATACCTAATATGGTCAGTACTGACACCTAAACTCCACACAAGGGAACCTTCTTTGGGTTCCTCTGTAATGTTCGGGGTGGGAGGTGTCCTGAGACCAAGAGCTGTATGCGACCTGTTGCTTGAGGCCACGTTGCCTTGTGTGGGGCACGGAGCGTGACACCCGCCATGCGAAGTGGTTGGGGGAGGGTTACTATGCTCGGGGCTCCCCGGTGGGTGCACGGGACCCCCCTATGTGGAGGAATGAAGCCTCACCCGCTGGGGCCTCCGCACATGCCCTGCCGACCTTGCTGGAGGTGTGTGGTCCGCCAGCTGCCCCCCGGAGCTTCCCTTGGCCCCCGGCTCTCTGCGCTCAGCCCCGACCGCAGGAGCGGGCAGACACCCTACCCTGTTCTGTGCTTGGACCCCGGCTGAGCGCTGCTGCTGTTGTGGGTGCGAAGGCCCGGCAAGTTCTCAGCCGGATCTGGGCCACGCTGGAGGCCTAATAAGTAATTTCTGTGGTGTTGGAGCCTCGGGCCAGCATTTGCACTAAGCCAGACCTTGCGCTAAGCTAGCGCTTTGTCTGCCCTCCCTTTCTGAGCCTCACACCAGCCCATTCTGCTGATGAAGGCCCGGAGGCTCAGGGAGGTTCCCATTTGTCCTGCGGGTCCCGTCAATGGCCGACCCCCTTGGTTGGCTGCGAGGTAGCAGCGTGCCTCCGGAGTTCTTCCCGGGGCCTGTTCTAGCTGCCGTTCCCCTGCTCCAGCTTTTAGACCAAGGCTTTTTGGAGCAGCAGGGTGAGACGTGGACCAGAAGGGTGTTGAATTTTGAGGCTGCCGTTTCCTGATCTTTCTGGTCCCCACCCGGAAAGAGCCAACTGCCTGCCCCCAGGGCAGGATCAGGAGGGACCACACATGCAAAAGGCATGCGCTCCGGTGCCCAGTAACCTGTGGCCTCTGCCGTCACCTGACTAGCCGGGAGCTGTCGCCTTTCTTGGAACCTGGCCCTGGATCAGCTGGATCAGCATCCCCAAGGGAGATTCTGGATTTCTGGGCCCGCCCTGGCCTAGTGACACAGAACTCTACCTTTGGGACTGGGGCGCCTGCCTTTTCAGTGGGCTTCCCCCTGGGGTTCAGGCGCGTACCTGCACTTGACATTCCTTGCCTCGGAGGTTCGGGACCACCCTGAACCCTCAGGAGAGAAGAGACGGTGGTGGTGCCTCTGTTTGGCTAGCTCTTTCTCAGGAGGGTGACCCTGTATTTTGTTGTCAAACTAGGGCACTTTTGAGCATCAGAAGGGAGCACCGTTAACAGCCGTGCCGGCACATGAGGAGTAAGCCGGTGCTTTGCTGGTGAATGGGGTGGGTGTCCCTGTTGATCCTTTTCTCCTTTCATCTTTCTGATGACCTGGGAGATACCAGCCCCTTCCATTGCAGACGGGGAAACTAAGACCTGGACAGGGCCGCTTCTGACCACACGGGCTTAACCTTGGTTCTTGATTGCAAAGCACCTCCTTGGATTAACCATCACTGTCGGCCCACGCTAGCTGAGCACAGTACCCGGGAGGATTGGGAGCCTCCAGGTCTTGCTATCTTTCGAACCTGGAATCTTTTGAAAACTAACATCACTTTCATAATGAGAAAAATCTACATCGAAGCTATAAAATGTGCTTCTGGAAAAGACAGCAGGGGAATCCTGTCAGCAGAAAGAAAGAGTGTGCTGGGGGTGTCTGTGCTGCCTTCTCCAGGTCCCCGGGGCTCCCTCTCGGCGCTTGGCTGTGACCCCTCTGTCACACAGACAATCGATGTCCCTCTGGGCAGAGTGACAGAGGGGGAGGGTTGCTAAAACCAGCTCTCCCGTCCAAGCAGATGTTCTTTGTGGGTCGGTCAGCGTCCTTTGCCTTCCGATTGCCCTAGGGGCCAATTTGATTATTTTTTGTGGTCGTTCTTCTCCAAGGAGACCTGCATGTGACGGTCCGTTTCTGTGGCACGTGGAGGGGACTGCAGTTGCAGAGAATACTTGAGGGAAGCCCAAGGTTGTCGGTGCACTAGATAAAACTAGCTGCGATGCCCTTGAGCCTGTGATGCTGAGGCCGCAGAGCCCCTGTGTGTGAAGGTTTGGGTGTGTTTCTGGTTCAGACAGAAATAGACACTTAGCGGAGGTCATGCTGGCATCGGGGCTCACAGGCGGCCTGGGGCCAACGTAGTCTCTGTCCCTGGCCACCCGTCCTGTCCTGCCCTGTCCCGTGTGCACCTTGGGTAGTTTCATCCCTCACCGTAAGGAATCCCAGTTTTGCCTCTGGCTGCCCAGTGCTTTCACATACCTGTTGCTCATGGTTTGGGAGAAGGAGTGGCTTCCTGGTGTCCCCGGGGACAGGGGATGGCAGGGTGGCCGGAATGTGCTGGAAGCATCGTCGGAAAACCGTGGTTTGTCTCTCGCTTCGCTCTGTGTTCACAGGGAGGATGGAGACACTAAAAGACAAGACCTTGGAGGAGCTGGAGGAAATGCAGAACGACCCGGAGGCCATTGACCGGCTGGCCCTGGAGTCCCCTGAGGTAGAGCAAAGCTGTCCTGGGGCCCAAGGAAGAAGGAAGGCCAGCAGGTGGGACTGAGGCCCTGCTTCAGGACGCCGGCCTGGTGGGAGTTTGGGCCGTATTCTCCTCCCTTTTCTGTGGCCTTCATCCTGGTTTGGATCAAGGCGGAGGAGCCCCTGAGATCGGGATCCAGTTCCTGGGCCCTCTGGGAGTTCTAGGGGGCGGTGCTAGGGCGTCCAGGGCCCCCATGTGAACTCGGGGGGACTCACCTGCCCCAGGAGTCCCCACGTTGTTGTTCCAGCCTGAATCTGGAGGTTTCTAAAGGTACTGCTACTGTTCTGTAGCCGCCTTTCCCCAGGGGCCTTGTGTGGCCCTGCATCTCCGGAGGAGCCCTTCTTGGGCTCATCTCCTGTGCAGTCCTGTTTCCTCTACCAAAGGGCGCCTAACCAGCTCCACTCTCCGCAGTCCCCCTGGGAATAAAATCACCCTTGCAGACGTGTAGAGCTTTACACTTTATAAAGGCTTTCCTGCCCTCCTGTGTCCTCAACCGTGACTCCCCCTGTGAGGTCAGGAGGCTGGACGTGGCTGAGAGCTGGGTATACCGCGGTCCTGCCCTGAGCGGCGCCAGCCTGCCCACTGCCCTGGAAGCCCCTTCCGCTGCCCCTAACGCCGGGCGGAGACCCAAGCACAAGCGATGCCGAGCTCGTCTGATGGGCGCTTGGAATATATTTTTATTTTCACTGATGAACCGGCATGGTGTGTCTTTCCTGGGGGTTCACGACCTGTTCTTGACAGAAGGGAAGCCACCCCGCCTAGCTTCTTCCTGCTTTCTGTAGGTGTGCGTAGCAAGGCTGTATTCCCTTGCCTTTCCTCGCCTGTGCTCTCGCTGCCCGCCCCGCGACCTGCCCCTCTACCCAGACGAGCAATCTTTGCCGGGGGGTCGGGATCGAAGAGGGGGCAGGGACGCAGTAGGGGGCAGGGTCTGAAGAGAGGTGGGGGCGCTCCGTGGCACATCCTGGTGCCTTGAGCTCGCTCCGCGAGGACAGAAAGCAAAGCCTGTGTCGGTTAAGCTTCAGGCCTGCCTCTGTGGTCAGTTAGGCCGTGACTCTGCCGGGGTCTGCCTTAGCTGGCATAGTGCTGGGCATAGAACAGGGTTTTTTGTCTGTTTGTTTTTTTAATTTTAGAGACACAGAGAGGGTGTGTTCGAGCAGGGGAGGGGCAGAGAGAGAGAGAGAGAGAAAGTGAGTGAGTCCTAAGCAGGCTCTGTGCTCAGTGAGGATCCCGATGTGGGGCTCCCATCCCACGACCCTGGGATCATGACCTGAGCCACAGTCAGGAGTCAGATGCTCAACCGACTGAGCCACCCAGGCGCCCCGGGCGCAAAGTGCTCCTTGACTCTGCCGTGAGCACAGGTTATAGGAATCCCAAGGCCAGCTCTGAATGGCATGTGAAACTTGGCAGAAGCGAGTCTTCACAGAAGTATCACTACTTGACATCCAAGCTGAGCAGGCTGATAGAATCTACGCCGAAGTGCAGAAAATGGCCGCACAACGTCTTGGGCTGCAGGCAACGCGAATTTTGTGGCGTGCCGCCAGCCTGACCGATCGATTTGAATCCTCCGCGGGGAAAGCTTTCTGGGATCAAGGGGAAGTGAAGCAGGGCAGGCTCCTCAGGCTTGCAAAAGCCCTTGGACGAGGTTTCCACCACGGTCCGTATAAAACACAATTTTACACGTCCTCGTCGCCGTGTGGCTGTGCAGAGAGGAGCTGGTTCACGTGGGGATGTGGACACTGCTTGGAGAAAAGAGAGCTAGGTAGCAGGGGGCCTGTGTCCACACAGGGCAGTGAATGGTGGGGTCGCGGCAGGCTGGTGAGCTCTTTTGACGGGGGTTCCGGAACTGTGGTATCGACCTCTTCTAAGTGACAGCTGGCGGGCTTCATAGTGACCCCCCCAGTGGAGAAAGATTTGGGGGAGGCTGTGGGAGAGGGAGCAGAAATGCATAGGGCAAGGCGTAGGGCAGAATGATACAGCTTAGATATATTTGTTGGTCAAGACCCAGGGAAAAGGCAGTGGACACATGAGGCCAGACGTTCTATGTAAGGGGCAGCTGAGCAGAGGGCTTCAGGCCTCCTGCTCTGGAGCTTACCCAGTGACTCAAAAGAGTGTTAGTGGCAGCAAATATAGACGGCCCAGATGTGGAGGCAGCTTGCTGTCATAGGGAGACCAGAGAGACCACAGCCAGGCCCATGATCCCTGGGCCCCAGTGGCTGCACTGTGGAGGGGAGGCGGATGTGACGTCCCTCTTCCCTGTCTGGAGCATGAAAAGCAGGCTCCAGTCCTGCCCCTGAGCTCGGATCTCAAGGCCCTGTGGCTGGGGATCAGCAGGAGGGCAGGCTTCCCGGAAGCCCCCTCTTCCCAGGTCCCCATGGCCTGGTGGAGGACGAGCCGGCCCATCACATGCTGACCAGGGTGGCCCCTGCATGGAAGCCGCCCTTTGCCGAGCTGTGCCCTGAGCCCTCTGCTGGGTGCTGAGCGCTCTCTTTGGTGCCACGTGTCACTGTCTCAGGGGTGGTGGGTCTGAGCCTCCGCCCTCCTCTCGGTAAAGGGGACTCCCTGGCATGTGGAGGGAGCTTTGGGTCAGAGCAGGTCCGGGAAGGGTTCCTGTAGCTGTCGCCTCAGCCGCTAGTGGCAGCAAGGGACCTGGCTGAGGGCCAGAGCGCTGCTTGGCTTGGGGAGGTGCTCTCAGGGGGCGACGTCCGGGGGCAAAGGCTGGCTTCAGGTGGCCACAGGTCGCCTGTGTCGGTGGGAGCCTTCTGCTGGCTGTGAGACTCCACTCCAGTTCTTGGGGGCCCCCTCTGCCCGCTTATCTGCACAGCTTCTCTGCAGGGCATGCCTGTGGCCTCGGAGGCGAGGGCAAGTTTCTCCTGAGTCAGCGTCACCGTCTGGCCCTGCCTTTCTCATCCCTCAGGGTGACTGTTTTGGGGCCTCATGCACGTCCGGCCTGTGGTCTGGCTTTGGCCACCTTAGCGCACCTCACGGTGGGCCTCTTGCCTCCGAAGCTTGGGGAGAAGTGGTTTGAGAGTTTGGTCCCTTCCCTCCTAGAAAGCCTCTGACTTGTTCCTATTAATTGGTCCCCCTGCTTCCTGGAGGCGTCCGCGGTCCTTGGTGGGCCTGGTTCCCGCTCCCCCTGTGGCCGTGGGCAAAGCTGCCGACCGTCAGTGCGTTTTCCGCACGGATCCGCCACAGAGGGTGTGGGATGAGGTGCCTGGGTCACAGTGCTTTGCTTGGGGTCCGAACCCGGGTCTATCGGACTCCAGTCGGGGGCATCGCCCACTTCTGCCGCGGTGGGCGATGCGTCCCAGAAGCCCCCGGTCCAGCCTGCCGCGGTGGTGAGTGGTGGTGGTGGGGAGGGTTCTCCCGGTCCACATCCTGTTCCCTTAGGTCCAGGACCTGCAGCTGGAACGAGAGATGGCTCTGGCCACCAACCGCAGCCTGGCCGAGCGGAACCTGGAGTTTCAAGGTCCCCTGGAGATCAGCCGCTCGAACCTCTCGGACAAGTACCAGGAGCTGCGGAAGCTCGTGGAGCGGTGCCAGGAGCAGAAGGCGAAGCTGGGTAGGGGCGGCCTGGGAGCTGCTGGAATAGGTCCCCATCCTTGCCCCCGGACAGGAAAGGGCCAGCAGTGAGGACGACCGTGTGCCCAGCCCCCGTGCTAAGTGCTTTCCGTACGTTTTCTCACAACAGCCTGTAAGTGGAGGTACCACTGTTCTTGTTTCAAACATGAGAAGAATGAGGCTCAGAGAGAGTCAGGGACATGGCCAGGGTTACGTGGCCAGATTTGGGCTGGATCCAGACAGCCTGCATTCCGTGCTGTTGCTCACAACGCCACCAGCCCAGCTTCCGGTTTCCAGGGCTGACCCGGGCTCTCCGCGTCCCGGGATCTGCCATCTGCGAGGTGGGAGGGGCTGTCCTGGTCTGGACAGTGAAGAAGCCGGATGCTCAGAGAGTGAGGCCGAGCAGGCTTGGGGCTCGCCGGTGCATCTTTGCTTCCTGCTGGCATCGGGTGGCACTGGGGAGGCCGGCTAGCCAAGGTCTGGGTTGGGCTCGGTGGATAGAGCTCCTCTCTGCCTAGGAAGGTGACCTCAGGGAACTGGGCCACCGGGGGCTCCACAGCAGACCCCAGGGCAGCGGCCGGACCTCGGAACACACAGGGGTCACTCCGAAGGTCTTCGCCCAAACCTTAGCCTCCAGCACCGGATCAAGAGGCGCTTTCAGAATGTTGATCTTTCTGCCCTCCCTTCCAGAGAAGTTTGCTTCAGCACTGAAGCCAGAGACCTTGTTAGACCTTCTGCAGATCGAAGGCATGAAGATTGAAGAAGAGTCTGAGGTAAGATGGCCGTCGTCACCCCCTCTTCCGGCGGTAGCGTCGGCCCCTGGAGCAGGAGCCCTCGGAACGAGCACTGGGTGCCTGTAGAGTCGGGACAGGGGGCTTTAGATGGTGGCACAGATGAATGACGCCATCGGTCCCGGTGGATGGGGAGAACAGGAGCCTGGTCCCGCTGGCGGGAGCTGGAAGGGCAGCTGCCGGCCAGGCCACAGGGCAGCTGGCAGACCTGGGTACAAGGTGGCGCAGCAGGAGGCCCCGAGGACTGAAGCCAGGCCCCCGGCCCCTCCCCGGCGGCCTGGCCTCTCTTTTCTGCTTCCCTCTGGCCGTCTCTTCCGTCTGCGGGCAGACTGGCTCCCTCCAGTTCTCCGTGCTCTGGGTGCCGGAAGCTACCAGGTCCTCCCAGCCCGGGGCCCGCCTGCAGTAGGAACCGAGTAGCTGGTGTCCATGCATTTATTTATCACATACGGGCAGCAGCCACTGCGAGCCCGGCACAGCGCCAGGGGCGGGGGACAGCAATGGCCACAGTAGTCCCTGCCCTCCAGGGGCTGACACCCTGGCGAGGGAGACGGAATACACCAGCGAGCGCAGGTAGCCTGTGTCGGCAGTGATGAGGGCCGCGAGGAGAAATTCGCAAACGGAGGCCAGAGAAGATAGGGGGTGGCTGCAGTGCGCTGAGGTGGGGGGGCCGCAGCCGGGGAACACGGGTGGCCTTGATCCCAGGCAGGCCCTTCGTCACCAGACCTTATCTCTTCTAGGCCATGGCCGAGAAGTTCCTGGAGGGCGAGGTGCCCTTGGAAACGTTTCTGGAGAACTTCTCCTCCATGAGGATGCTGTCTCACCTGCGCAGGGTGCGCGTGGAGAAGCTTCAGGATGTGATGAGGAAGCCCAGAGTTTCCCAGGAGCCGGCTGGTGACGCCCCTCCTCCGCGCCCCCCGCCCCCGCCTCGCCCGGCCCCCCCGGCGACACCCCCTGTGGCCGAAGAGCCGCCCCCGCCACCGGCGGCCGTGCCTCCCTACCCTTTGCCCTACAGCCCGTCTCCTGGCATGCCC